TCCCTTCCCACCTTCAAGACCCATCTCAAGACCCTCCTCTTCGACCGTGCTTTCGATCTCCCTGCTTCCCCTCCTGCCTTCCACCCTCCCCAAACTGACCAGAGGAAAAGCACTCACTCTGTGGCTGGCCCATTCCAGGGCTCATTCCCCAGGCTCTGGGCTTCCTCCGACATCTCCTCTCAGGTTTTCTTCATGCATCAGCCTGACCAGGCAAACCACAATGCTTCAAGAGGGCGTCTCAAGCTGTTTTACAGGATTGAGCGTAAAGTGAAGTGACTGGGTATTTATAGGCAAAGTTGGCAGCCAATTTGAACACAGCACCGTCCCAGAAACAGCCATTAAGTCAACGACGGATTTTATTTGTGGAATTGTTGGCCAGGACACCGGGAGAGAGACAGAAACTCCCTTCTCTTTTCGAAAGGGATCTTTAAAATCCCCCTGAACCTGCAGATGGGACCTCGGTTTAACATCTCATCTGAAGGACAGCACCTCCGACAATTCGGCGTTCCCCCAGCACTGGATTGGAACGTCAGCTTAGTGATTCCAAGTCCCAACGTCAGTGATTCCAGTCCCAACGTGGGGGAGGGAGGGAGGTTTAAACCCACAACCTTCTGACTCAGAGGCGAGAGAGAGAGAGGGAGAGAAGGAGTGCTACCAACTGAGCCACATTGTTGTTGTTGTTGACTCTCATGAGGAACAATGGGAACGTCGGGATCACCAGGAGATGGGAAACGAGCTTCCACCCCAGGTGGGGAGGTGATTGTGAACCCAAAGTGGACCCTGTTTCCTGAGGCCTGAGCCAGCGAGTAGGAAATACAGCCTTGGTTATTGTTTACTGTTGAGCTTCCTGTGTATTGTTCTGACACACAGGACGCGGGTCACACGCTGGCCGGGTGGGGAGGGGGGGTCAGAAAGATGAGTGCCTCAGGCCCAGGCTGTAGTAATGCCTCCCAACCCAGTAACACGTGGTCTTCAGCCCTGAGAGACTCCCTGGGGTCAGACTGAGATCATACGTCACATCAGACTGAAGCTCAACTGAAGTCTGACCTCTCACACACACATTTGACCTCTCACACACACGCCTGACCTCTCACACACACGCCTGACCTCTCACACACACGCCTGACCTCTCACATACACGCCTGACCTCTCAAACACATGCCTGACCTCTCACACACACACTCTCTCATCATACATTTACCAACTAAGCCGCGGGGGGGAGGGGGGAAGGGGGAAGCGGGGGTGGGGAGAAGGGTGAGAGGGGAAAGTGGTGGTAGGGAGGAGTCAGGGGAGGGGGGGCCACTTCCATCAGCTCATGGTATTTCTGGAGATTGTCAATGAGAACAAAGCAAACGACACGTCGTATTGCCCAGGATCCTCTCCATCGCTCGCTCTCATTTGGTCTTGATTTGTCTCCAAAATGAAAACCATATTTTATCACATTCCTTTTCCACATGACATTTTCTGATCTCTTCCTCCCCACAGAATCTCTCTGCCTCTCTCTCCCCCTCCCCCCCCACCACCACCACCACCCACCTCATCTCTCTCCTTATCATGTCTTTTTGCACCAGTTTCTTTGACTCTATTTGCAGGGCGGGGGGAGTGGTGGGTGAGGGGAATACACTGCCTTGCTGTGTCTCACGCGGCATTGAGAGGCGGATGGGGGGGTAGGGGGTGGTGTGTGGGGGGAGCTGATTTACTTTGACAAAGAAAATGTTTATGTCCTGAAAGTTTGCAATCATCAACGCTGGATTCTGAACCACAGGAACATCAAACTGTGTTGAAGTAGGGAAGGGGAAAGGCAAGGAATGGGGGCAAGGTAAGTGAATAATAATAATAATAATAATGCTTGCACTTGATATTGCACCTAATCACGTTGTTGAGACGTCTCAAAGCGCTTCACAGAATATTCTACAAAGTGACTGTATAGTTTGTGGGTGAATGGGGTAAAGGCAGAGGAATGCAGAATGGGATCAAAGAGACAAGAGATCAGAAGGGGCAAAACACCTTGATCCTATCACCCTCTATTCTGCCTGGGATGGGGTGTGTGTGTGTGGGTGGTGGGGAGGGGGGAGAGCAGGGGGCAGGGAGAGGTGGAGGGTCACTGGATGTTGGTACAATAGTCCTCTCCCCCACCAACTGAGAACAGCTCAGCGTTAAGATTATTTTTTTGGTCACCGTATGTCTGACACACGCGGAAATCCATCCTCGTGCTTAAGAGCATCCAAACTGAGAATTCCCCCTCCATTCCTGACCTCCATATTGGGACGCTGTCTTTTGGAATGGAACGTGCAACCTCTCTCTCCCTGGAGCGACACTCCCTGCTAACCTAATTCCCGCAAAGTATCAGACGCAGGTTGGCAAGAGCCAAGGCTTGGGGGTAACTGCTCGAGAGTAACCAGTTAAAACCACCATAGTTTGCCATTGATGGCCCGAGGTTGGTTGCAGTACCTTCCACTCCCACCGGAGCAGTATCGATCCCAGCTGAGACTTTCAGAGGAACAACCTTATCTATGTTCAGGCTATTCCATGAATTAAACAGCTATTTAGTGTTACATTGTCATCAGTCTGTGATTACGAAAGGCCTAAAGATTGACGGGGAAGTTGGTGCGACGAAAATGGCAGCGATCACAAGGAGATTTCCTTGAAGAAAGAACCATTTCAAGGTCCTGGTGAAGAATAGCATGTTCTGTTCTCTATCTGCTCCTTCCTACCCCTCCCTCCCACATCTGTGACCTTCTCTGACCTCATGCTTCCGCTCGCACCCTCTCCTCGGTCAACGGAAGCCTTCCTCGTGGAGTGGGAAGTCAATCTCTGCCCACAGTGACTGGTCTGCCCTTCTCAGCCTTCAGCCACTACACTCCAAAACTCTGGAGCACTCTCCCTCAATCCCTCCTCTTTGTCCCCTCCTTCCCCACCTTCAGGTTGCGCCTGAAGACCTTCCTCTTCAACCGTGCTTACGGTCACCTCCCCTCTCCCACCGGCTCGGCATCGTGCTCCGCCACGGTCAAGAGCTCTGGGACGCTTCCCTGCATGAGGGGCATTGTGCAAATGGAAGTAGTTGTTGTTGCTGTTGTTACCCCTCTCAGTCCTGCCATGAAGTCAGGCATCGTCATTTCCACTTCCCTCTCCTCCCCCCAACCCCCTCTCTGACACTCACTTTGAGACGCTACTCTGTAAAAGACTTTATAAATGCAAGTTATTGTTGTCGCTCCGAGAGCAGTGATAGTGTTGTTGTTGCTCAGAGAACATTAACATTAACAGTAACAGTCTTCCGTGCTGAGTCAACGCTAATAATATTTAGCTTTTAAAACAAAACATTCCATTCCCAATACAGGAATTTCCCTGCATTGGGAATGGAATGCGCATTCTCTCCTGGGAGGGACACTTCCTGCTTTACTAAATCCAGGAGACCATTAATCGCAGGCTGGCAAGAGCCAAGGTTTGGGGACCTAAAATCACCTTGGTTGCTATTTGAAAGCGCTGCCTGACGAGCTTTCCCAGGCTTGAAAGGGTTAACTGGAGCTGAGTGGGTAAGGATCCCTGACCCCTATGACTGGTCCGCCAATTAGCCAGGCTGGGCTCTGCTGCCCTGGAATACCGCCCGGCTCAGGAAGTGGACTACCGAGACTGCCATGGAGTCTCGGTAGTCCACTTCCCAGTGGAGTCCTGTAGCTCAGTGGTTAGAGCACTCGCTTTGCAAGTGAGAGACCTGAGTTCAATTCCAGGCAGAGGGCGAAACCTTGGGCAAGTTTCCTTACTCCACACAGAGCCTAATAATAATCCCTTCAAAACCAAAAACAATAATAAATTGGTCATTTTCAATCTACGACTGTTTGTGGGACATTGCTGTGCGCAATTGGCTGCCGCGTTCGCTCACAAATATACAGTCAATTCACTTTACAGTGTGTTCTGTGAAGCGCTTTGGGACGTCCTCTGGACGTGAAAAGCGCTATATCAAATGCAAGGATTATTATTATTATTATTATGGAGGGTGGACTCGATTCTGACATTCTGTTATCAGCTCGTGTTCCAAGGAAACTCCGCTCAGCCCCCCCCACCCCCAAAGGAATAGTCATCTGATAAGCGCAGGTTTGAGCCCTCAATAAGATGGATGGCAGGTACCAGGAACTCCCAGCGAGCAGCACGGCTCAGCCTGAAATGCGTGAGAGCGTGAATGGCATCGCTGCGTTTAAATAGGACACCCGCTCCCAAAACTAGGTCTGGATTTGAAAATTTGGCGCAATTAAATAAGCAATAAATTTGAAGGCCAAACCGTCTCACGGAATGAGACTGTGTGCAACTATAATAATACAGCAATAACTCTCGCTTTTGATAAAGCGTCTTATCACGTCGTTGAGGCGTCTCGAAGCGCTTCATAGAAGCGGAGTGACTGTGTGTTTTGTTGGCAGCAGCCAATTGCACACAGCAGTGTCCCACAAACAGTCGTGGATTGATTGACCATATTTTTTTAGAGTGAGGGTGGGGGAGAGGTGGAGGGTGGTGCGGGGGTATTAACCCCGGAAAGCGTTCCGCCAACCGACTAACAACTGGGTTCCTAATTGCAGGCTTTTATGTGCTTAGTATGTGTATGTGTGCGGTGCGGTGCGGGGGGGAGATTAAACAGAGGTAAGAGAGCATACAATGGGAGAGGGGGGGTACGGCCATGGCTCAACCAGAGAAAACAAACCGCAGTGCCACACATTAATGCCCTGAATTTGACTTTGTACTGAGGCTGACTGGTCTATTTGGGGTTGCTATCAGGATTGGCTGCTGTGGATGCCAATCCCCCCCTCTCTGGCTTGATTCCCATTTAAAAACTTTTTTTCTCTCCTTTTTTTTAAAAAAAAGAGCTCTGGAGTCAGATTTCAAACTCCCACAAAACGACAAGAGGCTGTGAATGCACTGCTCTCTCTCTCTCTCTCTCTCTTTCTCTCTCTTTAGGTTAACAAAAAAAAATTCTCTCCCATTGGAAGGATCCCAACTTGTGTTTGTCCTGGTGGGAAGAGAAGGACACACAGAGAACATCTCGTCTGGTGTCTGGATCCAAGTTTACCATAGATCAGGTAATCCCTCCCCATCGAGCGATCCTGGAGGGAATGGGACTGAGAGGGCATTGGGGGAAACACAATGAGAAGAGATCTGGAAATGGGAAGGGTTTGGAGAAAGAGTGAGAGAGAAGTCTCAGGGAAGCAGGAAGGTAGTAACAATTTTTTTGGGGGGGTTGGATTGGGGGGTTGGGGGGTGGAGAAGGGGGAAAGATTGTAAAAAAAAACATGTCGAGTGACTTAGAGTTTTGCCAAAAGCGATTAACCCCTTAAAAAGTTTTTTTTTCTTTTACACAGAGACCAGAGACTCATTAAAAAAAAGTTCCAAAATAAGACTTGACTTGTGGGGTCAGCAATGATCTGTTGGAATTGTGTTTGGATTTCTGTGTACAGGAAGATTAAGGGAAAGGAATCGCTTGTGTATGTACAGATATATATATATATGTGTATATATATCCATATTTATATATATTCTCTGTTGCACTTTATAGATTGTTGTCAGTGTGGATTGAAGAGGACGTTTGAACACAGACAGAATCCTTTCTCAGCCCTTTAACCAAACCAACAACAAAAAGCTCAGTAAGTAAATAAATCGTTGTAATTTTTAATTGGGGGGTGTGGGGGGGAGTTGGTTTGAATGAGGTTTTTGGGGGGGGAGTGGGGGGGAACTGCTGGAATGGGAGAGAAAACCAATTGAAAATGTTGCTGTGCGTTTTATTTTAATTGCATGTAATTATGTATCTATGAAGATCAGAGCGGCTGTTGGGGGTGTGGGGGGGTGTGGGGGGTGTGGGGGTGGGGGGTGGGGGGGGGTTTGGGGGTGTGTGGGGGGTGTGTGGGGGTGTGGGGGTGTGTGGGGGGGGGGTGTGGGGGGGTGTGTGGGGGGGGTGTGTGGGGGTGTGGGGGGGTGTGTGTGGGGGGGTGTGTGGGGGGGGTGTGTGTGTGTGTGGGGGGTGTGTGTGGGGGGTGTAGGGTGGGGTGTGTGTGGGGGGTGTGTGTGGGGGGGGGTGTGGGGGTGTGTGTGGGGGTGTGTAGGGTGGGGTGTGTGTGTGGGGGGTGTGGGGGTGTGTGTGGGTGTGTGTGTGTGGGGGATGTGTGGGGTGGGGTGTGGGGGTGTGTGTGGGGGTGTGTGTGGGGTGTGGGGGGGTGTGTGTGGAGGTGTGTGTGTGGGGGTGTGGGGGTGTGTGGGGTGTAAGATTGTTTGGGGGTTTTCCTGTGTTCCCTGTGGGGGAGATGTTTGATGTCCAATACACTTGGCGGATGATTGACGTGGCCGGCGGCCAATCAGCGGGGCTGCTGCCGCTGTAGCGATTGACCGGCCCAATCACGGGTGGCGTGTGGGGCGGGGCGTGACCGTTTCCTTGGGAACCAGCAACAAGCGTCACCAGCGTGGGAACCCCACCTGAGCTCAGGTGTAGCCCAGAGGGTCGGGGTCTGGGGCCCCCCGGCGGGTCCGGGGCCCCCCGGCGGGTCCGGGCCCCCCGGCGGGTCCGGGGCCCCCGGCGGGTCCGGGGCCCCGGCGGGTCCGGGGCCCCCGGCGGGTCTGGGACCAGGGCCCCCCGGCGGGTCCGGGGCCCCCGGGCGGGTCCGGGGCCCCCGGGCGGGTCCGGGGCCCCCCGGCGGGTCCGGGGCCCCCCGGCGGGTCCGGGGCCGGGGGCAGAGTCCCAGCACCTCAGCTGCTGGGCAACAGCGCAGCACACATTTACATTTGTACGTAACCGCGTTCACGTCCCCAAAAGGGTCTGGACAGTCAGGGCCCTGGACCCGAGCCGGGATTGTTACTCCGCTCGGGTCTGTAACTCTGTCTGTCCAGGGCCTTGGGACGTCCTCCCGACGCGAAAGGCACTGCAAATGTAATTTTGTTGTTGTTGGGATCAGGGAGGGTGGACGGCAGAAGATACATTTGTAGAAATTCCTGTGTCTGGAGTGGAATGCGCGCGCTCTCCTAAGAGGGGAACTTGCTGTTTGCTTAATGCTGGAGAGTATTAGGGCGCAGGTTGGCAAGAGCCAAGAGCTTGGGCATGGATGTAATTGCTGGAGCTCACTCAGCTGCTTGTCCAACTAGGACCACCCTAAGCGGTTAGGGTTTTACCTGAAGCTGAGTGGTTAAGAAATCCTGCCCTCAGTGACTGGTCTGCCCTTCCAGATCCTGCCGATGATCCAGGCTGGTCAGGCTGTCATCAGAACACTGTTCCTCCGAGAGGAAGGTTTCAAACCGCTCCCCACGCTATCACCATAACCTCCTGTGGTCCTCCTCCCTCGCCCACTCTGCCACCCCCGCCTACTCCACATTCCCCGCAATCACTTTGTTCCAGCTTTCCAGAATTAATTCCCTAAATCCCCCATCCTCCTCCCCTCGTTCCCCCTTTGCTTTCGAAACCTGTCTCTTTTTAAAAAAAACTACTACTATAACTTTGCTTTCAGCCACCTCCCTCCCACCCAGCTCAGCTCTCTGTAATGCTCTTTGAGCTGTTTTAATAATAATAATAATTCTTGTATTTGAAATAGCGCCTCATCACATTGTTGAAACGTCTCAAAGCAGTTCACAGGATCTACTGCAAACTGCACTGAATATACTGTTACGTGGAGCGACTGTGTATTTTGTGGGCGAAACCCAGCAAAGTCCCACAAACAGCCATGGATTGAGTGACCAATTTTATTTGGGGGATTGTTGGCCAAGACACCGGGAGAGAGAAACACTTCTCTTTTCAAATCGCATCATGGGATCTTTAACATTCACCTGAATAGATAGATAGGATCTTGCTTTAACATCTCATCCGAAGCACGGCACCTCGGACAATACAATGGAGACAATGTGAAGAAGGTGCTACATAAGTGCAAACCTTTGTAATAATAATTCTTGCCTTTGATATAGTGCCTTAGCACATGGTTGAGACATCTCAAAGCGCTTCACAGAATATATTGTGAATTCACTGTGTATTTTGTGGGTGAAAGTGACCCCTGGAAAGCGATCTGCCAATCGACTAACAACCAGGTTCCCACTTATCGCTAGGTCAACCGAAGTTTGTGGAGTAAGGAAAATTGCTTATGGTTGCGTCCTGCCCAAGAACTTTTAGTTGATTTGTTTAATAGACTAAGGCTTGCTACCCGCTGGGAATGAAAGCCAGATTGGCTTGTGTTGCACTCCTGGCCCACGTTTCTCTCGAGTGGATTTAAATGGTTGCAGACGCTCAGGGCACTTTGCAGCTCAGTAAATCAACACAAGCTGTGTGTACAGGACTCTCACCTCCCCACCGCGCCCCCTTGGGGCTGAGCTGTGAAAGTGATGTTCACTTGTTAATGAGCGGCTGACACCCGGAGTCTGAGCTTCTCTGGAGCCAAGTATGTCCCTTCTTCTCACCATTAACTGTAGCTACAGGGCATCACATATCCAGGCTCCGCTCGTGCCCTGCCCGGCTCTGGGCTGTTACAGGAGCTGAGGTCCAACATTGTTCCCACTCCTACTCTGACGCCAGGTGAGAGTCAGGGAGGGAACCCTGCTCAGAAACAGCTTATCACCGCCTCCACAGAGCAAATGAAACACTTTAATTTGAATTAAAGACAAGTCCCAGCCTGGCTCAATTGGTAGCATTCTTGCCTCTGGGACAGAAGATTGTGGGTTTCAAGCCCCACTTCACACTCCAAATGCAGCACTGGGCTGTGTTGCGTTGTTAGGGGTACCGTCCTTTGGATGGGACATTAAACTGAGGTTCAGCTGGATGTTAAAGAACTCGTACCGCTATTTGCAAAGAGAAGGCAGTTTCTCTTTCCTGGTGTCCTGGTCAACAATCCCCAGATAAAATCAGTCATTCACTCATGGCTGTTTGTGGGACATCGCTGTGCACAATTAGGCTGTCGCATTTGCCTACAAATACAGTCTCTATACTTTAGAGTAAGATTCTGTGAAGTGCTTTGAGGTGTGTTTGACATGATAAAATGCTGTACCAGTACAATCCAATCCAAATTATTAATACAACTTATTAAAGAGGTAACCTGATGAATACAGGAGGCGTGGGAGCTCGTGTAGCGTATAAACAACAACTTGCATTCATATAGTGGCCTTCATGCAGGTCAGGGTCTCGGACCACAGGAGCAGAGCCTGACACCGAGGGAAGGGGGTAAGCATGGTAGAAGAGGAAGATCTTCAGTCTTGATCTAAAAGAGGGGAAGGAGGGGGCAAGGCGGAGTGTTTGTGGAGAGAGTTCCAAAGCATCAGGATGTAGTGGCTGAAAGTACGGCCGCCGATGGTGGTGGAGAAGAGGGGACGAGGGACAAGCAGGAGGCCAGAGCCAGCCGAGCAGAGGCAGTGGGTAGAGGAGTGGGAGGAAAGGAGATCAGAAAGGTAGGGAGGTGCAAAGGCATATAAATACCGGCACAGATAATTTGGGCCGAACAGCCCCAAATTAACCCCAACTGCTGAGATCAGGCCCCCACGTTTCCCCACAGGAAGACGGGACATGACAAAACTCAAAGAAAAAGCCACTCATTTCTATCAAGAGAGAAGGATTGAAGTGGAAAGAGGAGCGGGGGAGCTAATGTCATTCCTGGAGTAGGTACAATCCAGTAAAAATCTGGGGTCCCCAAGCCTTGGCTCTTGCCAACCTGCACCTAATACTTTACGGAATTGGGTAAGTGGGATGCTTCCCTCCAGGGAGAGAGAGAGAGCACATCCATTCCAACAATCTATCTCTGGAATTTCCATGTGTAGGTGGAATGGGACGTCTAGAAGACGTGAAAAGCGCTATATCAAGTGCAAGGATTATTATTATTATTATTTAATTCTCAGCTTGGGTTTGGAGACTCTTAAGCAATAGTGATGGATTTCTGCATGTGTCAGACACCCGGCCGAGCAAAAAAAAAACTGTTTGCCAAAGTCCATCCCCGGTGACTCCGGCTGGCCAACAATACATGAGTACCTCTCTCTGTGGCACGCCCAACTGTTTGTTCTTTCGGAAATAAACTTGTGGAAGGAACCACGAGAAGTGAGATAGTCTCAAGTGACACAATTAGATAATTGCCTGTAATTGTGCCAGTAACCTGTCATGGGAGGCAGGTGTCAGGCTGACTCAGTCAATCGCACTCGCACTTCTGAGACAGAAGGTTGTGGGATCACGTCAACATGTCAGCACTTTGAACTCAGTCCTGGGTGACTCTCCAATGCCGTGCTGGGCAAGTGTTACATTGCGGAGCTCAGGCCATCTGCTTATTCAGGTGAACATCAAAGATCCTGTGGGCCCATTCAAAAAGAGAACGGTGTTTCAACTCTTCCAGTATCCACCCTGGCCAACAATCCTCCAGATTAAATTGATCATTCACTAATTTTATTGGCTCTTCGGCAAAAATTGTTATACCCAAAATTGTGAAGGGCTTTGAGACGTCTTCCCGATGTCAAAGGCGCTAAATCGAATCAAGAATTATTATTAATAATCACCTTCAAGATGTTTCTTACTGTCTGCATAACTGGGTCTAATTTGTGGCGTTGGCTTAATAGGATTCCTCAAATAGGGGTCTCTCTCGCAGATGGAGGTAAACGGAATTATGTCGCGCTGCTGACTGCTAATTGAGGATTGCCGTTAAGA